AGGGCGCTGCATCCCGTGGGATGTGGTAATTACTCCTTCCTTGCCTAACCTGGAGCGGGGATGACTCAACTCCGTTCCAGCCTTCCTGCCCCTCCCTCCAGTCAGGCAATCTGCGGATGCCCTGAACCTTGGCAGCAGCCCCCTTTTGTACTTTCTGAGGCACCTGTGGGCATTTCTGCTATGACACGTCACGCACCTTCCTAAAGAAACCCACATTCTACCATGTGGCACACAAAAATAATAGGACGTAAAGAAGAAATTCAGACTGCCAACAGGCACATGAAAAGATGCTCCACGTTACTAATTATCAGGGAAATGCAAATTAAAGCCACAGTGAGATATCCCCTCACACCAGTTAGGATGGCCAACATAGAAAAGACTAGGAATAACAAATGCTGGCGAGGATGCGGAGAAAGGGGAACCCTCCTGCACTGCTGGTGGGAATGTAAATTAGTTCAATCATTGTGGAAAGCAGTATGGAGATTCCTCAAAAACTCAAAATAGAAATACCATTTGACCCAGGAATTCCACTCCTAGGAATTTACCCTAAGAATGTAGGATCCCAGTTTGAAAAAGACATATGCACCCCTATGTTTATCGCAGCACTATTTACAATAGCCAAGATATGGAAGCAACCTGAGTGTCCATCAGTAGATGAATGGATAAAGAAGATGTGGTACATACACACAATGGAATATTATTCAGCCATAAGAGAAAAACAAATCCTACCATTTGCAACAACATGGATGGAGCTAGAGGGTATTATGCTCAGTGAAATAAGTCAGGTGGAGAAAGACAAGTACCAAATGATTTCATTCATCTATGGAACATAAGAACAAAGAACTGAAGGAACAAAACAGCAGCAGACTCACAGAACCCAAGAATGAACTGAAAGTTGTCAAAGGGAAAGGGACTGGGGAGGGTGGGTGGGAAGGGAAGGGTAAGGGGGAATAAGGGGCATTACAATTAGCACACATAACGTAGGGAGGGGCATGGGTAAGGCAGTATAACACAGAGAAGACAAGTAGTGATTCTATAGCATCTTACTACACTGACGGACAGTGACTGTAATGGGGTATGTGGTGGGGAAATCTAGTAATGGGGGGAATCTAGTAACCACAATGTTGCCCATGTGATTTTATATTAATAATACCAAAATTTTAAAAATTAATTAATTTTTAAAATGTAAAAAATAATACAGACTACACACTCCCTGTTTGCAAACAAATATGAATAATAAAATTTCAACTTGTTTGAAAAAATAATAATAATAATAGGGGGTAAGAGAAAAAGAGGACTGTTGCAGACATGCGAACCCCATGAAAACTTTTTAGCCTGAAAACCAAATGCAGTCCTGGTGAAAAGGGAAGGCGGGGTGAATCTCCCCCCAGGGTTCACACCTGAGGTGCAGGGCTTCGCCCTTTGTTTCCGAAGACGGGGGGCTTTTCTGGCTGCTCATATTCAACTGAGAGCCTTTCCATCAAAATTTACAATCTGACTTAGGCCATAGTCAATTAAAACAAACAAATACATAGACATACAAAATGTCTTCACAGCTTCTCTTCCCGTTTTCTGTCCCAACAGACTTGGCAGGCAGATGCTTGATGGTTATGTCAGTGGGAATTAGGCTGGGCAGCAAGTGACAGGAAATGAAACAGATGAGGATTTTTCTTTCATGTTAGGTCCATGGGAGGGATGGGGCGGGAATAGAACTTCGATGGTAAGTGACCTACACATCTTCCCGCATGCTGCTCTGTCCCTCAACCTCATGGTCCAAGCTGGTGGCAGCCATATTCCAGGCAGCAGGAAGGAGAGAAGGGCAAAGAAGAGAGTGAGGTTCCTGGCGGCCACCGCATGACACCTGTGCATACGGAACTTGGTATGTCTGCGCCAGCTGCAACAGTGGTGGGGAAATGCAGTCTTTATTTGGGGCAGCCACAGGTCCTGCTCCAATTCCACTGAAGAGGGACTGAGCAAGTGATCTGGGGATGGGATGGGAGAGCCCCAGCAGTCTGTACAATACAGGCCCATGGCAAAACTTTAAAATCCCAGAACATTCTTAGCAGAGGGAAAACCAGCAGTGACCTGAAGTCCTGCTATCGTTGTCTGGTCCCAGAACAGCCCCCAGCTTTTCCAGCCTGCTTTGCCGTGCTAAGTCAACCGTGACCTAGCAATTTCTTGATGTCAGCGCCCTCACTTCTACCACAGGGCCTTGACACATACTGTCCCCCCCGTCTGGAAGGCTCCCTTTGCCACCCCATCTCCACTGCCTTTGCCTAGTAAACTCTTTTATCCTCCCTTCTCATCTCAGCAGCTCAAACTCGCTTTTTTAGGGAAGCCTTCCCTGCCCCCTATCTTTAAGAGCCCCTTTTGTAGTTGTGAATTCATCAGTGTGCTTCACTAAATTCTGTTTCCTCAGCAGTCTGAGCTGCATGAGGCCAAAAGTACATTTATTCCTGCCCCTTCTTATATCCTAGTATAGTAGCAGGCTTGGTACTTATAAAGGTAAACATATGCTAGGATTAAAACCACCCATAATCTCATATCCCAGAGTAATCACTGTGCTCCGATTCTGGTTAAGCCTTGCAAAACCGTGTGCTAGCATGTTTACATTTTGTGTTTGCAGGAACAATTTGGGAAATGAGATCTGGGACCCAAATCTTCACATAGAATCCTTGGCAGACATTTTCTCCATTGCGAGAGGTTAGAGAGGCCCTCTGAGAAGAAGGAACACTGGCTTTGTCCCTCCGTGATCAAATCCTAATGTAATTTCCCTGTAATGACTCAAACTGTAAGGAAGGTGGAGAAGAGAAGGTGAGGAAAGCCTGGCCAGTCCCCAGGAGTGACCCTGCAACTAACTGTCCAGTTTCCCTTTACTTTAAAAGGGACTCTCTGGCTCTCCTCAGAGGTGGTTTCAAAACATAAGTCAGTTTCTTGGAATTATTAGCACTTATCCCTGCACGTGCCTCAGCCTGGTATCTGCCCTGAGCTGAAAGGTCGTCAGGCTAATTAGTGTTGTTTATTAGTGTCATTTTAAACCCTAAGGCAAACGCAGGCTTTAGTTGGCAGGTCCCCTTTCTAGTCCTGACAGGGCGGGGACAAAGCTGTGGGGACAGCAAGGCCCAGTGGGTGGGAATCTGAGGCCCCCTCCCCTTTCCAGCTCTGGCGGGCAGTAAATAAACATGAAAGTTCACGGAACCAAAAGACCACTTGTGTTGAGTGAGCCCAGGCCACACACCTCAGGTCAGCCTGAGGCTGGGACTTGGAAGGACCCCAGAGAGGGACAGTCCCCAGGTCCGAGGGGTGGGCTATTCCCCCATCTGAGACCCCAATTCTCAGGAGCCCAGGGACCCCCAGTGGGCCTGAGGGCAGCCTGAGACCCAGCGGCTACTGTTGCTGGCTCAGGAGCAGGAAGGACCCAGCAGGGGACAGCGAGGACATGAGTAGGGACAGTATCCCCGGCTTTGGGCCCATTTCCAACTGTTCTAGGCCCTTCTGGAACCTGCGGGGGGGAGCCTTGGATCCTACAGGACTAATGGTGGCTGGGCCGGGGAGCTGCACGTCACTGGGCCCACAGGCCCACCGCATATCCTGCACCCCACCGCCCATATGCAAGCCCCTCCTTCCTTCTTTACATCCACCAAGGAGGCGTTGGTGACCTCATGGTCATGTCTGCGATGCCCTGGGACCTACAGGAGCCAGGGAGGGCGGCCTCTCTTTGCAGAGCACCCCCTACAGGTGGGGAAGTCAAGACGGAGTGGGCGTGTCCACAGTGCGGTGCCCCCCCTGCTTCACAGGGGCAGCTGGAGGCCTGGGCCTGACAGTGAGCAAAGATTGCAAACTTCGGACATTTCCTTTTGCTTGCACAACCTGCACCCTTTCCATCATTTCCCAGTAGTTGATTTTCCCCCCAACTAAAGTGCATTTTCTTTGGAAACGTTTTCAATGCTCTGAAATAACTGGAATCCTCTCATCTTGCCAAACCTTAGTTGGAAATCATTAAATTAGGGCTGTGACACGGAAAGGACAAGAAATGAAGTTGGTGAAAGGAAATGGCCAGTCCTCCCTTGTGATCAGACACAGGGACCCCCCAACACACGCACGCAGAGGCCATCCCCTCTGCGGTCCCCTCACTGTGCCCCACACCGTCACAATTTCCCAGCCTGCTGCTGGTGCCAGGAATGGGGCCCCACACATGGTGGGCTCCCCATTAACTGGTTATTTGAAGGTGAATGAAGGGAAGGAATGACCGAATCAACCGGATTTGTACCACTGCAAATAAAACAAAGAGCTGTCCCATAAAGATGAAAGCCTGCAGACCCTGTGGGCCTTTGCTCTGGATTCTGGCCACTTGACCTGGTGCCCCATGGCAGCCACATGCATGCTGAGCACAGGGTGCCGGTGGTGGCCTGGCGGGTGTGGAGGGCCCACACCAGCAGTGGTGACTCACTTTTCCTGCCCTGCAGATAAAGGAATTTGAAATATTTACTGTCTTTACAGTAGTGTTGGTTACACAGAAAATAACTTGGAGTTTCTTAAAAAGGAAAATAAGAAACTCGCTAAGAAAATGTTGCATGGTTACTTGGGCAAATGCTGACTGTCCAGTAGAGAGCCTCGGCTGCAGGCTTCCTGGCAGGAGCCACTTCCGAGAAGCTTGGAATAACCCTGTCCTTTGCCCCTGAATTATCTGGGGTGGTAAAGGGCCCATGGCTTTCTATGGGTTTGTGACAAAAATAACCCTTCCAGTCACTCACCACAAGCCTGATCAGGGTGGAAACATCTCAGACTGTCCCAATCAGGAAGGCGGGGGGCTGCCATGCTGGGGTGCCTGCTTGCTGAGCTAAGCCCCAGACATTTAATTAACGGAAGTGAAAGGAAGACAAACCTCTGGGCTCCTGAAAGGGTTATTGTGCCCTAGACTTGCCATAAAAATTCTATTGGCTGTTCCCTGGCGTGGCCAAAGAATAGCAGAATGCCTGCCTCTCTCTCCATTCTGTGCACTTGTCAGAGCTGAACGGAGGTAAGGCGCGCTCTGCGCTTCCCGAGCCAAGATGGAGCAGCAGGACGCAATCAGACAGGAAGGCGTAAGTGTGCTGCTGCCGTGCCTTCAGAGTCCCTGCACCGAGGAGGTGCATAATGACAGGAAGATATGAGTTTGCTGACACTTTTAAGAAACTTGCATTTTACTCATCTCAACAGCATTCATTAGCTTATAGTTATGGGAGGAGAGGCACCTAACTGTGTTCATTAGTATTTGTTCCATCATGGATGTGAGACTGGCCATAGCCAGGTTGGGAATGTGCGTTGCAGCCATGGATTAAAAGCAGTTTTGGGAGGCAGACCTACCTGAGTTTCATTCCTGTTCCATCCTGTTCTTGCTGTGGGGACCTGGCAAGTTATTTAAATGCTCCACACCTCAGTTTTCTCATCTATAAAATGGGACTAATAACCACACCGCCTCGTAGGGCTGCTGGGACAATTAAATGAGATAATGCATGTAAGTTGCCTGGCACATAGTGAGGCCCCCATAGATGTTATCACTTTTGAGCACCCTTTAGAGCAGGGCACTGTTGACATTTGGGGCCAGAGGGTCCTTTGCTGTGTGGATGCTGGCCTGTGCGTTGTAGGAGCTCAGTGGCCCGCCTGGTCTCTCCTCACTGGATGCCAGTGAGCCTTTCGTCCCAATGAGAACTGAAGCATTAGCCATTACCAAGTACCCCCACATGGATCTTGTTTGACCTCACAATAACTAAGAAAGTCTTAGATAAGTCAAGTGTTATACCCTCTATTTTATAAAAAAGGAACTGTGAGGTTACAAGGTCTTAGGGGTTTTGGGGTCCAGCGAGGCCCTGATCTGGTCTATATCCCCTCTTCAAAGAGAAATGGTCCATCCAGCTGTGTCCCCCAGGTGTGGCTGCAGAACGGACATGCCCCTGCATGGTGGGCCCTAAAAACAAGCAATAGGTTTGGAAAGGAAATGATTTAAATGGTCACCTGCAAAAGGTATGGGTTGAGCACACTGCCTGCCCCCTCAGTTCTCTGCTGAAGGAAGCCTCCTGCAGGGGCCCTGGGGCTAAGGCAGCTCCTTCAGCCACCTGAGGGCAGACACGCCTTCTTGGACAAAGGCCAGAGCCCTTGCTGGGCTTCCCGCAGGCACCAAAAGAAGACTGGTGCTATGGTGGCTGCTGGTAAGGCTTACAAAAATCATTAAGTGACCCCGAGGAGGGATTTGGGAGGCAAGGAGATGTAGAGGGGCCAGCACGGTCTGCTGAGAGCCGGAGCTGGGCTGGCAGAGGAAGGGGCCAGCTCTCGGTCCCCGCGTGGCTGCGTGACTGTGACCTCAATGGCTTTTGGGTTCTTCATCTGTTAAGAGAAAAAGACCAGAATCTGTCCAGTGTGTATCAAGGACTACCTGACAGCAAAAACGGACTCTTGGCCTGAGAGGAAAAAAATAAGGGTGCAAAAAGATGCCAAAGCTCCCTGGGAAATGCAGACATATTTGCTGTTTTTGCTGGTGCCCCCCCCTCCCCCCACTGACGCCTTCCCCTCTGGGCTGGTCCCTTACTGTTGATAATGACAGTAAATGCGACTGTAACACCTAATGAAGCCAGGTGTGGTTCCACGCATTTTCCGTGCATGAACTCATTCATTCCTTGCATCAATCCTGTGAGGGACAATTGTAGGTTCGTTGAACCCATTGCACAGGCAAAGGAACCCAGATGCAGAGTTCAGTAACTGGCCCAAGGCCACACAGCCTGCAGCTGGAAAAGCGGGATTCCACCCCACGTCATAGGCTGTGGCGACGTGCTCCAAACCACCACAGCCAGAGACTGGCATCTCCAGCTCGAAAATACTAGGAGGTTTCTGTCTCCTCTCTCCCCCCACCTAAAGCTCACTTTCTGTTGGTGAAACTTTGAGTTCAATAGACTGATAAAGTGACTTGAAGTGTTAGTGATTCATAGGAACTAATTTTCCCGGAGATACTTGCCTTCTGAATGGCGATCCGGGCTAGTTAGAGTCTTAGGCTGAGAGTGCCTCTGCCACACGGAGATGGAAGGCGGAGGGAGACACACGCCCGGGGGAGATGGTTTGGAAGGGGCGTCCTTCCCGGCGCCCTCACACCCCCCAGGAGGCCCGCCCCAAAGCTGGTTGTTTTCCTCCAGTCTCAGAGTGCCCACAGCCTTGTGAGAACCAGGAGCCAGTTGGCTGTGGGCACGACGGGCGTGGTTCCTGGTTTCTCCCAAAGCACAGCTCAGAGTCGGGGCACCCCTTGGGTCCGAGAACCTCCTCCCATTCATGGCTCAAGGCCCCTGGGCCACTTGTCATTTTAATAACTCACGGGAGACCTGGAAATCCTTTTTGACCCCTTCCTCTTCCCTGTGCCTATTCCAGCCCAGTACCAAATCTGCTTTTTTTTCTCTCCTGAAAAAAAAAAAAGAAGCTTTTAGCTTTATACCTAGCTTTTACATGCCTTTTAAAAATATAATAACCTTTACTGAGAATATAACTCACAGACCATCCGATCCACCCATTTAAAGTAGACAATGCAGTGTATATTCCCAGAGCTATGCAACCTTCACCCCAATCAGCTTGGGGGCACTTTCATTCCCCTGGAAGGAAACCCCGTACCTGCCGGCCGCAGCTCCGACTTTCTTCCCGGCATCCACAAACCGCTCATCTACCTTTGTCTCCGCGCATTTGTCTGCTCTGGACATTTCACCTGGAATCAGGCAATTGGTGGTCTTTCGCGACTGGCTAAGCTTTCACTTAGCATGTTTTCAAGGTTCCTCCACATGTAGCTTCTTTCAGTGCCCCATTTCTTTTTATGGTCAAATAATAATTCATCGTATGGATGGACCACATTTGTTCATCCATGCATCAGCTGGTGGACATTTGGGCTGTTTCTGCATTTGAGTTGTTGTTAATAATGTCATTGTGAACATTTGTGTCCACGTTCTTGTGTGAAACATGTTTTCATTTCTCTTGACTATATACCTAGGAGTGGGATAGCTGGGTCTTATGTTTCCTTTGGGAGGAATTTGCCCAACTGCTTTCAAAGTGACTGCACCATATTGCATTCTTGCCAGCAACGTAAGAGGGTTCCAGTTTTCTCCTTGCTAACACTTATTATCTGACTTGTGATATGTATTTTTTTTTTTATGTCTGTCTTTCTCATTGGACCCTTGTCATTCAGAGGGCTGCTGTTTTCCTCATGAAACTGTAGAATGGTGCCTGGAATACAGTCAGTTGTCAGTCAGTATTTGTTTGGTGAATGAAAGTATTTGGACCAGTATGGTTAGCGCGAACCTACCCAGAATGTCTCTGCTCATTCCCCAAAGGGTAAATCTTGATTTCTGTGGGTCCATAGAATGTTCTGTGGCTGGATTTCAGGGAGGGAGCTGAAGAATAGAAGTTGAATTGTGCACTCTATGCTTAGAGACCCGACAGCCAGAGGTCCCATAAAAGCAGGCGGCTGGTCATCCATGCTCCCTGGCAGGGTCCCTGTCTGGGGCATGAGTTGCTGGAACACCAGCTCGCTCCCCAGCTGAGCTTTGCTAAGGACATCAAACCTGAGGACCTCAAAACAGAGAGTGGTCAGGGGCTGTACCTGGCAGTGGGAGTGGAGCCTGCTGCTTTTGGCGTCAATCATTTACTGGGAAGAGAATTAGAAGAGGCGACATTTTTATCAATATTTTCTTCACTGTTTCTTCTCCTCCCTCCTACCCTTCCTCCCTTCCACAAAATCAAGCAGTAGAACAGCTGTAGTGGAGGGACCTCTGCCTTGTCCTCCACTGTATCCCCAGCACTTAGAACAATGCTGGGCTCACAGTGCAGCCTCAGTGTGTTGAATGAATGAGTGAGTGAATGAATGAATCAATACCCAGAGCACTTCAGGTGCGTGGTGAGCTAAGTGGGCCCTCTCCTGCATCTCGGAGTGTGGGGGGTGCCTACTTGCATATCACCTGCCTTTTGAAAACACGAGGAGGGGGAGCAGCAGCCCCTGGACCTGCTTCCCTCCTGGGCACCATCACCCGCCCAGCTCCCCTTGTGTCACCCACCCCCAGTGCTGGCCCAGGAACGGTGGGCGTGGAGGAGAGACTCAGGCCCAGAGCCCACCGCTCCTGGCAGGCTGCCTTGGCTGAAGCCCTTTTCTTCCTTAGCAGAAATCTGCTGCTGTGTTAGCTGTTCATTTGTTCCTTTGGTGGGCGGAGAAGGGTGATGTTTTCCTGGTGGGCTTGCCCCTGGCCAGGGTCCCCCAGGTCCTGCTCCTGCTCTGCGGAGGCGGACTTCCGTCCTCTCTGGGGCACAAAGAGGCAGGAGTGGCCACCGTTTCTCTGCCTGTCCTGCTCCTCACTTACCTCTAGAGGTAGTCAGCCTCTAGATTAGGCCCTCAGCTGACCACTGGAGGGACATGTGTGCCGTGGACAGGGGTCCTCCATCAGAGCCGTGGATGAAGGTGATCAACGGCAGGTGGCTTCAGAGAGCCACGCGCAGGCCGCCCTGGCCGGCAGATTCCCCTGCATGCTGGACGCTCTCCTTAATCTTTGCAATGACTCTGAGGGAGTGTTGCTATCCTCATTTTGAAGATGAGGAAACTGAAGATCAGAGAAGTTAAGCTACAAAGTGGCAGTGAGCAAATTAAAGATGTGATTTGTAGATTCTAGAAGCAATGCTCTTCCTGCTTCTATGTTTCTCCTGTTTCTCATTACTTCACTTATGAATTCCCTCCTCAGTAAAGGTGCTTGAGTGTCCAGTCTCCCTCCTCGTGTGTCAAGGGGAGATATTACAGATGTGTGTGTTTAAGAGTCCCTAGAAATCTGTATTTAAATATTTTCCCCTGCGCCTCCTGCCAGTTACAGCAGGTCTGGGGCCTAAAGGGGATTAATCAGTGGCCCTAAATAAATAATTTTAAATGCCCTTATTTTTTCTTCTTTGCATTTGGGGGAGTTTTGTGTTTAAGGCTGTGCTTGAGTGCATTTGCCACAGGGCACATATGTAGCCACGTGGCAGGAATGTCACAGAAGCAGTTCAGACATTAGATGGAGCGTTGGAGTGGGTGACCCTTCAGTGTCTTTCTGACCCAGTGGTTCGCAACCAGGGGCAGTTCCCCTCCTTCCACGGGGGGCGTTTAGCAATGTCTGGAGACGTCTGGGTCGTCACAGTTGCAGGGAGGATGTTCCTATAGTGCGCACAGGACAGCTCCCCATAACCCAGGAGAGTCCTGCTCCAGGTGAGACAAGCTGCTTCCCCCCCGAGCTAGAGGGTGGGTTTCAATACAGGGAGCAGTTGAGAGACTACAAATGATCAGATTCCTGTATTTGCACAACACCTTGAAGGAAATTCGATTTCCCTTAAACCCCACACTGACCCAAGCCTGACCTCCCCTCCCGCAGAAGCTGACACCCGTGCTCGCCCTAGCAACCCTGATAGCTGCGTTTGGGTCATCCTTCCAGTACGGGTACAATGTGGCTGTAATTAACTCCCCAGCTGAGGTAGGTCACTGTGGTGAGTGGGACATAGCCCCCAGGAAACAGGGGGCACCTGGATGTGGCCCTGGGGTGGGACGGCTCACACACTGAGGAAGGGCAGGGAACACCCACAGGACAGGGGACTTGCAGGCACAGAGACACAGGGGTGAATCGGGTCCACAGGGTCCAGCTTCTCCTGGAGAACTGGGCCTGGCTGGACACAGGGTGGGCTGCCTCTGGGAGCCGGGGGCTCCGGCCTTCTGCAGTCCTGCAATCTGTGGGGGGTCTGAGGGGCAGGGCCCACCCAGCAGACTGGAAGGCTGGAGTTATTGCTTTCTGGTGTTAGAAACGCCCCGGGCTGCCTGCCTCTCAGGAGTATCCCAGGCCTCCCCACAGGGGCCCCCTGCTAACTGCTGGGCATACAGCTTGTCCCTCCCGCCTGTCTTCCCCTTAATAACGCTGGGCACCCCATTGAGGGCCTAACAGCTGACATGGTTCTTCCTGCAAAATCAGGCCAAATCATTTTGGTGTTCTATTTTGCTCTGTTCTGCAGCTCATGAAGGATTTTTATAATGAGACCTACTCTTCTCGAACCCATGAGTACTTGAGCGAGTTCTCCTTGACATGGCTGTGGTCTCTTTCCGTGTCCATGTTCCCCTTCGGAGGCTTCCTCGGATCCCTCATGGTCGGGCCCTTGGTGAATAGACTTGGCAGGTAAGGGAAGGTGAATCTTCAGCTCCCTGAACCTCATAGAGACCCCATCAGAGTTTAAGACCCAGACCTAAAGCTGAAACCATTATTGTAAAGCTGGTGGTAACCTCTGTGATGATGTCTGTTTTCTAATGTGAAGACCAGGCACTGACTGACCGTTTGGGGATGCAGGCAGGGTCTGGGGTCTAGAGGTGGGGGTGACAAGTTTCAGGCTCTAGGCAGACATGGAAGGAGCCAGGTGTGCTTCCAAGAGGAGGGCCAGTCCCGCCCTCTCTGCTCTCTTGCCTTGACAGTTTCCTCACCGAAAACAAAAACAAGTTCTCTTTGCTTCATGACATCACTCCCAGTGCAGATCATAGCATGGCGTCCTTGACCTCTGCCTCCTAACGAGCTAACTGCTCTTCTAACTTGGGATCAAGTAATATGCAAAATTTAGCCCAAGTTAAATGCCTGTAAAACTCAGAAGAGGTGGAGATGAATGGCAGGCACTTCCGTGTGAAACTGTGTGAGGCCCCAGTGCAACTCTCAATGTGAGTGTCATGAGCATCAAGGGCAATTCTCGAAGCATTAGAAATTCTTTATTTGTTTCCCAAAAGGTCCTTAAGACATCACACTACCCCGGTGAGTTCCACAGGCATGTGGAATCTTGAATCCTTGTTATGAACAGGATTCAAGAGCCTCTCCTCCAGGGCCTTCCCTCTGAGGTCGAGCAGAATGAGGTCAAGTCCCTGTTCTCAGCCACAGTCGTAGTTAGCTCCGGAGTCAAGGCCAGAACCGGTCCTTGATTCCTTCTCCAGTACTTTTTTTTTAAAAGAGTCTGCGAATAGAAAGATACAGCCTCTGGTCTGGGATCTAAGATCCTAAGGTCTTCCTGGGAGATGGGTGTTGAACTCACAGTCTTCCCTGGGGACCCCCAGGGGGCAGGACATCAGTGAAGTCATGGTCAGATCTGCAGGACGCGTCTCCTTGAGCGAAGGACTTTGCCATCTGGTCCACAGATGGAGCTGACAGTTGCTTGTCCAACTGTCTCCTTGAGGATGTGATAAATGCTATTCATTGGTTTGTGGTCAAGGACTTGAAGGTGTTGGTTAAATAACAGCAGCAACTAACAATTTATTGAGGGCTTCCTATGTGTCAGGCTCTGTCCTGGGTGCCTTTAGGGTTATTAATTCCTCTGATCCTTACAAAAGCTCCATCTCTTTTCAAAGGTGGGAAAATGAGGCAGAGAGAGAGAGAGAGAGAGAGAGAGAGAGGCTGTAACTTACCCAAAATTGCACAGCTAGGAGGAAATTTCACTTCCGGGCATATCCAAGTAACCTCCATACTGTACTCTGTCTGATACAAGCTGGCAAATGTCTTCTCAATCCGCTGCTTTATTTTTTGATCATACACCTAGTATCTTTTTTATACAAAATTTTTTAATGTTCAAGGGGCCAAATTTAACTGTCATTTATGATGTTTGCTTTTTTGTGTCCTAAGACAGCCTTCCCTACCATAAGTAGAAAAGTCGTAACGATAGCTTTCTGTAATTTAAAAAGTAATTTTACAATTTCGCTTTTCCCAGCTCGATCTGGATGTTTATTTTACATAAGGTCAGTAGTGAGAGAAAGCTAATTTTGTTGTCTTGTTTTTTTTTCATGTGATAAGTCAATTGCTTTCAAATCTATCTTACTTATGTTCCTTTACTCTTCTGTGTTAGCTTTTAAATCAGTTTATCGAAATCCCTGAAAAAGGATCCTGCTTGGAATTGCTTTGGATTTATAATTTAATTTGAGGAAAACTGACTTCCTCACACCGTTGAATCCTCCCCTTCACGAGCAAGCTGGGGCTAAACTTGTCTACCCCGAAACTCACTGTGGTTCCTCGCTTAAGATGGCATGTCTTTCTCATCAGTTCTGGAAAATTTTCAGCCATCATTTCTACAAATATTGTCTCCTCTATTTTCTATATTCTTTCTTCTAGAACTCCAAGGAGTCCTTCCACGTCTTTGTTGCCCTACTGACTTCCCCCTGAGCTGTGGTCCTTTCCATTTGCTCCCACAGGGAATGTTCCCAACCAGGCTGGGCACTTGATCCATATCCATCTTAGGTCACGGAGAGCTTAGAACAACAGCAAAGCCCACTGCTGTCCCCGAGGAGACGCTTGACGGACACTTGCTGCATGGACAAGGGCTCCTCAGAGCAAACTAATCGGCTTTCTGTCCTCTGCAGAAAGGGGACCCTGCTGTTCAACAACATCTTCTCCATAGTGCCTGCGATCTTAATGGGGTGCAGTGATGTCGCCAGGTCGTTCGAGATGATCATTGTGTCCAGACTTTTGGTGGGAATTTGTGCAGGTGAGCAATGCCTCACTGGGCTTCTGCTCTGTACTGTGGGGTGATTGAGGGCAAGGGAGAAGGAGCCTGGGGCCTGAAGTTGGGGTCACTGGCACCTGCAAATTCCAGCCATTTCTGTGCCTCTGCCCAGATGGATGCTTGAGCCCCCACATTAGTTTCAAATGTGGTTGGCAGGCAGATCTTCACTGCTGACGTTTCCTGCAAAGAAAGCTGCTCTTGGGCAGACAAACACGGAATCTTGGGTTCGGAAGGGTCCCTCTGGTGAAGCACTTTATCTCAGTGTTTTCTAAACTGCTGGTCAGGATGGTTAGTGGGTGAGGACTTCCGTTTAGTAAGCAGCATTTTCTTTTTTATGTAGACTGTCACACTCAGTAAAGGTAAGGACTGTCCTTTGAAACTTTCATTTCGGTTATTTACCTGTATAGTATGTGAGAATCAGGGTGTAATGGAGCATGTCTTTATTTTCTACTGTGGGTTGTGGTCAAAAAAGCTTGAGAAACAATCGGATATACAACTCCCTCCCCCAGAAAGACATCAATGATAACAAACTCCCGGCTTTCCTAGGGGCAAAGGGCGTGCTGTGGATTCTGCATCACTTAGTCCTTCAAGGCCCACCTGCCTTGAGGAGGGTAATGACTCCCTGAAGAGTCTCAGCTCATCAGCTGGGCAGCTGGTCTGCAGACCCGCCAGAGCTATGCTGCTTCAGACTGAAGAGAGGAGGTTAAAGCCGTGCCTGTGGCCTCCTGACAAGTTGGCATTCTTCCGTAGGCAGTATTTCCCAGAGCCGGTCAGTGAGCAAGATGCCCAGGTGTTAAGTGAGGAGGCGCCCACTTTCAGGGCCATGCACCTTCAGAGTGAGCACCCCCAGCAATGCTGCAGCTTGGGCTCCTAACCTGCTCCCTGCCACTCCACCCTCGTGTTGCCAAGCCACTTACCTTCTCCTTCCACACACAGGGATGGGGACCCGAGGATGACTTGGCTGAGCAAAACCCTCAGCTGGAGTTAACTGAAAATAGGGAGACGTCAAGGAGCCTGGGGCTCGGGGGAATGGCGAGCAATTGCAGGGCTGGGACATAAAGGACCCCAAGATTCCAGCAGACAGAAGAGGGCATATAAGGAGAGAGTGACGGGCCCTGGGACAGCCCGAACTCCTTGCTTGCTTTCCCTGAGAGTGCCTGGAAGGAGCTGCTGTCCTGGCTGACCCGGGGGGCCCTGGGCCCTACGCCTACCTTGCAGGGCTCAGCTTTATGAAAAATAGGTGGTTCCTAAAAGTTGTCAGCAGTGAGCCAGTGCTGCCCCTGCTGATACCTGATACCTTGGAGGTGCTCCCACAGAGAAGGATGACAGTAGATAGCAAAGCACGGTTCCAAAGTCCAACCTCCACTCTTAAAGAAGAGTTATTTTCAGTCACCTATTCTCAAACTTTTCAACCTCAGGACACTCTAAATTATTGAGGACTCCAAAGAGCTTGTGCTCACATGGGCTCTGTTGATCCATATTTACCATATTAGAAATTACAACCAAGAACTGATTGATTCATTTAAAAATAGCAATAATAAGTCCACTACATATCTTTATGAATATGACTGTATTTTCTAAAAAAAATTTTTTTTTTTTAAGTGAGAAGAGGGGCATTGCTTTACATTTTTTGCAAATGTCTTTAATGTCTGGCTTTGTGGAAGACACTGGGTTCTGAAACCTACTGCTGGCTTCTGTCATTTATACTCCGCCATGTGCTCCTGACAACACAAGAATGAAAAGAGCACATGACATCTCAGATTGTTCTGAAACTAGCTCTGACCTCACAGACCCCCTGAAAGGGTGGGAGGCACTTCCTGGGCCCTCAGGTCATACTTGGGCAACCCCAGCAGAAGCATAATCCATTGGCAGTTCATTCTCTCACAGGGAAGTGTGTGATCCAGCACATGCTACACAGGCATCCTAGAAACGAAGTGAACACCGACTCAGACAAAGGGGCACAGAGGTATATACAACTGGGCCTTTGGATGCTGTTTGCCGGCTTGCCATGAGTCAGCTTCTTTGGCAAGAACGCCAGATCCTTTCACTGAAGGAATTAAAATGTAAAAGCTGCTTTCTGTGATTCTGTCAGAAGACACTGGCAGCAATTGCACAGTAGAGTCATTTCTAGGACAAAATAGAGATTGCTTTCCTCCAAGGTGAAGGAAAATCTCATCTCTTCACAAACCTCCTGATGTTTGACTCTACAGTTTTATTCACAGTCAAGGAACATGTGCCATTAGGAAGTGGCCACCAGGGCCCTGAGTGGCAACCACAGAGCCCCCACCTCAAGGGCCTCTGCTTCCTCCCCACCATTTGGGCCCTAGGTCTGCAGGGTCTCCCCATAACAAGACATCTGAGGGCTGCTCTAAAGAGTGCCCTTTGCTCTGAAAATTGGCAAGAATAGGTATTAATGAACAGTGAGGTCCCTTTTCTTTTCTTTTTTAATTAAGGTATTGATATACAATCTTATGGAGGTTTCACATGAGCAACATTGTGGTTTCAACATTCACCCATATTATCAAGTCCTGCATTGCAGTCACTGTCCATCACCATAGTAAGATGCTATAGAGTCATTACTTGTCTTCTCCATGCTCTACTGCCTTCCCATACTCTCATTATGTAAGTGTGCTAATCATAATGGCCCTCAATCCCCTTCTCCCTCCCTCCTCCCCCACCCTCTCCCACCCCTCCCCTTTGGTAACCGCTAGTCCCTTCTTGGAGTCTGTGAGTCTGCTGCTGTATTGTTCTTTCAGTTTTGCTTTGTTGTTAAATTCCACAAATGAGTGAAATCATTTGGTACTTGTCTTTCTCTGCCTGGATTATTTCACTAAAGCATAATACCCTCTAGCTCCATCCATGTTGTTGCAAATGGTAGGATTTGTTTTCTTACGGCTGAATAATATTCCATTGTGTATATGTACCACATCTTTTTTATCCATTTCTACTGATGGACACTTAGGTTGCATCCATATCTTGGCTATTGTAAATAGTGCTGTGGTAAACATAGGGGTGCATATGTCTTTTTGAATCTGGGATCTTGTTTTCTTTGGGTAAATTCCTAGAAGTGGAATTCCTGGGTCAAATGGTATTTCTATTTTTAGTTTTTGAGGAATATTCATGTTGCTTTCCACAATGGTAGAACTAATTTACATTCTCACCAACAGTGTAGGAGGGTTTCCCTTTTCACTGCATCCTCCCCAGCATTTGTTGTTCCTAGTCTTTTTGATGTTGGCCATCCTAACTGGTGTTAGGTGATATCTCATTGCGGTTTTAATTTGTATTTCCCTGATGATTAGTGATGTGGAGCATCTTTTTGTGTGCATCTGAATTTCTTCTTTGGAGAGGTGTTTGTTCAGATCCTCTGCCCATTTTTTAATTGAGTTATTTGTTTTTGGGTGTTGAGGCATGTGAGCTCTTTATATATTTTGGATGTTAACCCCTTATCAGATATGTTATATAGTCTCCCATACTGTAGGATGCCTTTTTGTTCTGCTGATGGTGTCCTTTGCTGTACAGAAGCATTTTAGCTTGATGTAGCCCCATTTGTTCATTTTTGCTTTTGTTTCTCTTGCCCAAGGAGATGTGTTCAGGAAAAAGTTGCTCATGTTTATATTCAAGAGAGTTTTGCCTATGTTTTCTTCTAAGAGTTTTATGGTTTCATGACTTACATTCAGGTCTTTGATCCATTTGACTTTACTTTTCTGTATGGAGTTAGACAATAATCCAGTTTCACTCTCTTACATGTAGCTGTCCAGTTTTGCCAACACCAGTTGTTGAATAGGCTGTCATTTCCCCATTGTATGTCCATGGCTTCTTTATCATATATTAATTGACCATATATGTGTGGGTTTATATCTGGGCTCTCTATTCTGTTCCACTGATCTATGGGTCTGTTCTTGTGTCAGGAGCAACTTGTTTTTATTACTGTGGCTTTGTAATAGAGCTTAAAGTTGGGAAGCATAACCCCCCTGCTTTATTCTTCCATCTCAGGATTGCTTTGGCTATTTGAGGTCTTTTGTGGTTCCATATGAATTTTAGAACTATTTATTCTAGTTCATTGAAGAATGCTGTTAATATTTTGTTAGGGATTGCATTGAATCTGTAGATTGTTTAGGCCGGATGGCCATTTTGACAAATTAATTCTTCCTATCCATGAATATGGGTCTTCTTTAATTTCTTTCATAAGTATCTTGTAGTTTTCAGAGTATAGGGCTTTCACCTCCTTGGTTAGGTTTATTCCTAGGTATTTTATTCTTTTTGATGTAATTGTAAATGGAGTTGTTTTCCTGATATCTCTTTCTGCTAGTTCATCATTAGTATATAGGAATGCAACAGATTTCTGTGTATTAATTTTATATCCTGCAACTTTGCTGAATTCAGTTATAAGTTCTAGTAGTTTTCGGGTGGATTCTTTGGGTTTTTTTATGTACAATATCATGTCATCTGCAAACAGTGACAGTTTAACTTCTTCCTTAACAATCTGGATACCTTTTATTTCTTTGTGCTGTCTGATTGCCATGGCTAGGACCTCCAGTACTATGTTGAATGAAAGCGGGGAGAGTGGGCATCCTTGTCTTGTTCCTGATCTTAGAGGAAAAGCTTTCAGCTTTTTGCTGTTAAGTATGATGTTGACTGTGTGTTTATCATATATTGCCTTTATTATCTTGAGGTACTTGTCCTCTATTCCCATTTTTTAGAATTTTTAATCATGAACAGATGTTGAATTTTGTCAAATGCTTTTTCAGCATCTCTTGAGATGATCATGTGATTTTTGTTCTTCTTTTTGTTCATGTGGTGTATGTTGTTGATGGATTTTTGAATACTATGCCATCCTTGCATCCCTGGAATAAATCCTACTGGATCATGATGGATGATCTTTTTGATGTATTTTTGAATTTGGTTGACTAGTATTTTGTTGAGTATTTTTGCATCTATGTTCATCGGGCTGTAGGTCTATAATTTTCTATACTTGTGGTGTCTTTGTCTGGTTTTGCCATTAGAGTGATGCTGGCCTCATAGAATGAGTTTGGAAGTATTTCCCTCCTCTTCTACTTTTTGGAAAATTTTAAGGAGAATGGGTATTAGGTCTTCTCTAAATGTTTGATAAAATTCAGCGTTAAAGCCGTCTGGTCCATGGGTTTTGTTCTTAGGAAGTTTTTTCATTACCAATTCAATTTTGCTGCTGGTAATTGGTCTGTTTAGATTTTCTGTTTCTTCCTGGGTCAGCCTTGGAAGGTTGTATTTTTCTAGAAAGTTATCCATTTCTTCTAGGTTATCCAATTTGTTAGCATATAATTTTTCATAGTATCCTCTAATAATTCTTTGTATTTCTGTGGTGTCCATAGTTATTTTTCCTTTCTCTTTTGTGATTTTGTTTATGTTTGTAGACTCTGTTTTATTCTTGATAAGTCTAGTTAGGGGTTATCTATTTTATTACTTTTCTTGAAGAACCAGCTCCTGCTTTCATTGATCCTTTCTATTGTTTTATTCTTCTCAATTTTATTTATTTCTGCTCTGATCTTTATTATATCCTTCCTGCTACTGACTTTGGGCCTCATTTGTTCTTCTTTTTCTAGTTTCATTAATTGTGAGTTTATACTGTTCATTTGGGATCGTTCTTCTTTCATGACATACGCCTGTATTGCAATATACTTTCCCCTTAGAACTGCCTTCACGGCATCCCACAGGTTTTGGGGTGTTGAGTTGTTGTTTCCATTCGTCTCCATATGTTGCTTGATCTCTGTTTTTATTTGGTCATTGATCCACAGTGACATCTCTTTAAATTATTATGCAGAGACAACCTTGTGCAGAATTGCAAAGCTTGAAAACTTCAGTTTCCTCCTGTGTCAATGTTATCAAATTACCAGCAGCCCTAAACTCCACTCACTCCAAACTCTATTTCCTTTTGGTCTCTCCCTGGCCAGGGCCTCCCTCTCAGACCCCCATGTCTTTCTGAGCCTCAGTGTGACTCCTGATTAGGTGCATAATACTTGAACTACTGACAAAGGATTCCCAGCTTCTCATTGGCCTGTTTGGAGAATTAAATGAGATAATACATGTGAAAATACTTCAGAGCCTGTAAATTAGATTCCACCTATTCTTCAGTGAGTCAAATTCCAGTAAGATGGGAAAACCTAAATGTTTAAATATTGGGGATTCAGAAGTAGTTCGGGCATTACATAAATCCCAGATTGCAATTATTCCATAGTATATATTTAAGTTTCCAATGCTATCTATAATTATAGTTTGTGCTTAAATGTCTATGAACATATCCATGCATCCATTTATTATGCAATGGACTGTCTTAGAAGGTGGAGTTGGCAGGCAGGGATCTTTGACCTTTTATTAACAGATTCTCCCCAAGGAGCAAGAGGGGAGGCAGTGTCTAGACCCCCATCTGGGCTCTTCCTTTCAGAGACCATGCCAGTCGGGAGAGAAGGCCTGAGGGCAGGCCAGCCTGTGTCCCCAGGTGACACTAGTTGAGAAGCAAGGGCACCTGTCCACAAACTTCTTCAGTCAAGATTATTTTCTCTTTCCTTAAATCTTAAAGGATGAAGAAGTACAAGAAGTGTTTACTTACTCCTGCAACTCTGAGACACTTGCAGTCTGACTAACGGGATCACTGAGTGAGAATAAATGGATTTGAAGACTCAGCTTGTCCCTCCCAGACCCAGGTTTCCTGACTGTGTTTTCACTTCATTCCCCCTCCCAGGTCTGTCTTCCAACGTCGTTCCCATGTACTTAGGGGAGCTGGCCCCTAAAAACATGAGGGGGGCCTTGGGAGTGGTGCCCCAGCTCCTCATCACTATCGGCATCCTCGTGGCCCAGATCTTTGGCCTTCGGAGCCTCCTCGCAAACAAAGAAGGTAACTCAGGACGCCTCTGGAGCCCCAGCCCTCCCTCTGCTCCAACAGGATGTTTCTATGAGCTGGCCAGCTGGCTGTCCTTGTGAGCCCCCACACCGTCCTGTCCGCACGACGCTGGGATGGTGTTTGCACCGAGCAGGCCCTGGGCAAGTTGGTGGGGACAGCCTAGCTGATGTTTTCTAGTCCCTCACAGGACGTGGATGAGGTGGCTTTGAGAAGGAGGCCCTGTAGTCTTTCTCTTGGCTAGCTTGGTGTCTGTCCATATAGGGGCCTGGAGCATGGTAACAACAGCCACCACTGTGCCTGGTTCTGGGCCCAAGGCTTCTCCAGCACCCCTTGGGCCTCCCAGCCACACTGCTGCAGGGGTCTGTGATCAGCCCGCTCCACAGACCCAGAAGGGGAGGGTCGCCTGACCCATCCCATGTGGGTGAGGTGGTCAGTCCTATCCCAGAGCCCAACTCTGGAGCCACACCACCCTCCCCAAAAGACAGGGGCCTTGCCCATAGTAGGTGCACAGTAACTCATAACTATCCCTGTTTTTGTGTGATTGCCCCATTCTTTGTCTTGGATCTTGAACTTGTGAAAGCAAAATCACTATAAATAACCCATCAAAATATAGAAAATGCTTATCATAGACCAGGCACCAGGTTTTTCACATTAATTCCATTTATTCCTCCAAACCACCCTATGAAGCCTACAGGGTCATTATGACCACCTTACAGACATGGAGCCTGAGGCATAGAAAGGCTGGGTCACACATCCAAGGTCTCATTAGGGCACGGATCCGGGCAGCTCAGGCCTCAGGCTTGTGTTTGACTACCACACTCTCCCACCCTCTGATCACCCTTGTCAGGGGCTGGGACCCGGAGTGGAGGAGCCAGGTTCCTGTGTCCCTGTGATGGCACACGAGTGACCGGCAGGACCCTGAGTAACCTGCAGAGCCCCGGCCACTGTGCAAGGCCTCTGTGCTGTGGGGAAGGGGGCGGTTGGCTGCACAGGGAGGGGCTAGGCTCGGGGAGGTGCAGGTATGGGCAGAGGGGACAGAAGTGTGTTCTGTGTGCACTCAGGGGGCTCCTGGTGTGGTGCTGGACTGCATTTGGTCCCTCCATCCCTAGTGAGGGTCTGCAACCATTGGCCTCTTGTTCAGGTCAGAGCGTGGAGGGTAGGGCTTGGCCTCGCTCCTCTTTGAATGTGTAGCACAATTCCTGGCTTATAGTAAGTGCTCAAAAAACAAGAAGGGAGGGATGGAAGGAGGGAAGATTGCAAGAGAATGGTGTCAGAGAAGCCTCTGGGGGAGCGTGGCATGGGGTGGGTGGGGTGGGCAGTCCCCGTGAAAAGTCTGGAAAGTCAGGGGGCAAGATGGAAACACAGCATCTGGACTTGGCAGTCCAGGGGTCTCTGAGAGGAGCTGGGGTGCAGGGGTGGGGGCAGGGGCCTGAATGGGAGGTGGGACCACACTCATTGTAGGCCACTTGGGGTGGCTGAAGCAGGATCCAAGATTAGCACGGCTCTGCCGAGGCAGGAGAGGAGGTCAGGGAAATGATGACCCAGCCGTGCAGGGGAGGGCAGGGCAGCAGCTGAGCTTAGCATTGCATGGCACTCGTCTCCTTGCGAAGAGTGACAGTGTTGTGGGATGGGGGGTTTGTTCAAAGGCTGAGGTGTGACTTAAGAGATGATGTCTAAATGAGGACGTTCTTCATTTAAAAACAAACCAGGGATTAGTCACGGGTTGGCAGGTGGTCATCGCCTTGAGTTTGACTAAAAGTCCATATAACATATGATGAGGGGTTCCCAGGGTTCACTGTGCCTGGGTTCAAATATCAGCTTTGCTCCTAAATAATTGACCTTGGGTGAGGGGCCTAGACCCTCCATGCCCCAGGGTTTGCAGTTGTAAAGTGAAGTTGGGCTGGTTCCTGCCTCATAACGGGACTGCCGTGGGAGGTGAGCTGACACGTGAAGAGCCATTAGACTAGGGCCGAGCTTGCAGACACCCGCTCTTGTCACCAGCTGCAAACCCTAGCAGAAAGGGGGTGGGTTGGCACATGCACACTTCCTCGAAGGGCCTCAACTACTGATTCACTTACTGAACCATTTTTATTGTGAGACATAACATACGTAAGGAAGAGTGCGTAAAATATCAATGGACATTTTGTCAACTAGAAATGAAACATCTGTGTGAGCCTTACTTGGGTCCAGCCCTAGAACCATGCCAGCCCCCTGGAAGCCTGCCATGTTCCCTCCCATCAGGGCCTCCCCACCCCGAAAGGGGCCACAATGCCAACATTTATGATCGTCTCATCCTTCCTTTTCTCAATAGTCTCTACCACCTTTTGCAAAGACAGGTTTTCCCTGTTTGACGTTGTATGATGGGACCATACTGCAGAGTGCCGCACAGGCAGCTTGTTTGTGGCGTTGGTCCCGTGGAGCTTGCTTCCTTGTCGCTGCAGTAGAGAATTCCGTTTTATGAACACACCATGGTTTATGGATCCAGGCTACCATTATGGGCCTTTGTACTGTTTCCAGTTTTCATTTCTTTTTATTTACTTATTTACTTATTTTTTATTTTGGTATCATTAATGTACAGTTACTTGAACAACATTATGGTTACTAGACTCCCCCTATTATTAAGTCCCTACCACATACCCCATTACAGTCACTGTCCATCAGAGTACTAAGATATAAGATGCTACAGAATCACTACTTGTCTTCTCTGTGTTATACTGCCTTTCCTGTGTCCCCCCCGCCCCTGCTACATCATGTTGTGCTAATCATAATGCCCCTTTTTCCCTCTTACCCCTCCCTCCCCACCCATCCTCCTCAGTCCCTTTCCCTTTGGTAACTGTTAGTCCATTCTTGGGTTCTGTGAGTCTGCTGCTGTTTTGTTCCTTCAGTTTTTTCTTTGTTCTAATGCTCCACAGCTGAGTGAAATCATTTGGTACTTGTCTTTCTTTGCCTGGCTTATTTCACTGAGCATAATACCCTCTAGCTCCATCCATGTTGTTGCAAATGGTAGGATTTGTCTTCTTCTTACGGCTGAATAATATTCCACTGTGTATATGTACCACATCTTCTTTATCCATTCATCTATTGATGGTCACTTAGGTTGCTTCCATATCTTGGCTATTGTAAATAGTGCTGCGATACAGATAGGGGTGCATCTGTCTTTTTGAAACTGGGCTGCTGCATTCTTAGGGTAAATTCCTAGGAGTGGAATTCCTGGGTCAAATGGTATTTCTATTTTGAGTTTTTTGAGGAACCTCCATATTGCTTTCCACAATGGTTGAACTAGTTTTCATTCCCACCAGCAGTGCAGGAGGGTTCCTCTTTCTCTACATCCTCACCAGCATTTGTTGTTGTTTGACTATTGGATGTTGGCCATCCTAACTGGTGTGAGGTGATATCTTGTAGTTTTAATTTGCATTTCTCTGATGACTAGCGATGTGGAGCATCTTTTAATGTGCCTGTTGGCCATCTGAATTTCTTCTTTGGAGAAGTGTCTGTTCAGCTCTTCTGTCCATTTTTTTAAAATTAAATTTAATTAAATTTAATTTTTTTTGAGAGGGCATCGCTCATATTTATTGATCAAATGGTTGTTAACAACAATAAAATTCAGTATAGGGGGGTCAATACTCAATGCACAATCATTAATCCATCTCAAGCCTAATTCTCGTCAGTCTCCTATCTTCTGAAGCATAACGAACAAGTTCTTACATGGTGAACGAATTCTTACATAGTGAATAAATTCTTACATGGTGAACAGTACAAGGGCAGTCATCACAGAAACTTTCGGTTTTGATCACGCATTATGAACTATAAACAATCAGGTCAAATATGAATATTCGTTTGATTTTTATACTTGATTTATATGTGGATCCCACATTTCTCCTTTTATTATTATTATTTATAATAAAATGCTGAAGTGGTAGGTAGATGCAAGATAAAGGTAGAAAACATAGTTTAGTGCTGTAAGAAGGCAAATGTAGATGATCAGATGATCAGGTGTGTGCCTATGGACTAAGTATTAATCCAGGCTAGACAAGGGCAGCAAGACATCCACGGATGCAGAAGATTTCTCTCAAAGCAGGGGGGGTGAGGTTCTGAGCCTCACCTCTGTTGATCCCCAAATTCTCACCTGATGGCCCCCCTGCGACTGTGCCTGTCTTAGGTTGTTCCTCCCTTGAGGAATCTTACCCGTCTCTGGCTAACCAGTCATCTTCCGGGGCCATACAGGGAAATGTAAAGTTGGTAAGTGAGAGAGAAGCCATATTGTTTGCAAAGGTTAGCTTTTTACTTCTTTGCAGATTTATGCCCTGTGGCTTCTATGCCCAGCACTTGTCTCGAGGTATCTTTACCACCTGGAGGAATTATGATACTCGGTAAATTCGATATGAGGCACGAATTCTATTTAAGGGTTGTAATTAGGAAGGAAGAAGAAAAGCTATAGATGTAGCATATGAAGGAAACTTGGGAGGATTGATTATTTCTTTGACATATCTTCTTGTATAGTACCTTAAGTATGTATAGGTTTTAAACTACTAACTAATTTGCACACACATATTAACATAATAGGAATACGGTGACATAAACAAAGCAAATCTATAATTACCAGCCATCTCCAGTGAAGCCAAGAAAACCATTTAGGCACCCTAGGCATTTGTGAAAATTTATCTATGATATGATGGATATTTTCCAACTGTACTTGAACCATCAGACAAATTAAAGCAGCCCATTTCTGGGATCTGTTCACATCCCATATGTTCTTTTAACCATAGATAGTCTATAGTCATGAGATTTTGGGGTGCTACAACTTGCACCCCTCCCAACTCCTGGTTGAGTTCCAACAGTACAGATCCAGTCAAATTCGTTGTCTCACTGTATGCACATGCCAGCCTAGACATCTCCCTCCTCCTTCTTATGGCAAGTCCAGGAGACGGTGGGCTGGATGCAGCCACAACCGCAGCATCGTCCGGATCCCTGTGGAGGCTTTTTGATGATCATCC